CGTTCGTCCGTGACGTCAGTCCGTCCGTCCGTCCGTGACGGACTGACGGACATGAAAAAATGGGCTCTCTAGCTGTCATTCACTGCAGTGAGTACTGATTTAATTTTTTTCATTATTCGTGTGAGCTGGGAGTAAAGCTGCTGCAGAAGTTATACGGTGAGCCTGGATTTAAACGTTGAAGAAATTACGCAGTGAGCATGAATTTAAACGTTGCATTAGCTATGCAGCGAGTCAGAATTTAAATGTTAAAGAAGTTATACCGGGAGCCCAAAGAAAAACATTGGAGAGGGCATGCTGTGAACAAGGAGTTATACCTCGTGAAAGTTATGTAGGGAGACAAGATGGTTGAACGATGCATCGATTTGTATTTGAACAAGAATTTGAACGACATAAATACTGCGATGTGCATGAACGAAAAACGTGTGGCAACAGTCACTATCAGCTCAAGCTGGACATGAATGCTAATTAAATCTTTTTTGTACCTACTTTTGAATTTTTTCTCTGTTTAGAAGCTTTGGCATGGCAGTCAGATTCAATCCCCATCATTAGACTAAAAATGCATGTATAAATTGCATTTTCTCACAATTTTCGTAACTGGTGGGGTCCATGTAGCTAACCGCAAGAAAAATCTTATTTTTTATGTGTAAGTGTTACATGATAGACTTTCCTTGAAATTTTACAACATTTTTTCCAAGTTATGAAAATAACTTATTTCTGTAATTTCCATTAGAACTATTCTATCACTTATACGCCATCACGTCATCTTCAGATAAAATTTTCCGGTCATTATTGACAGTTCTGCTTCTTTTACTCATCCCAAGTTACCCAAAAAGTGCAGAGGAATTGATGAGAGACGCTGCGACGGGCAGAAGCTCTCATATCTCGAGGATGCAGTTGAGTTTTTCTCCACAGTAAACAATAACGCGACTCAACTGAGCGAAAAATACACTCGTTTGGCCTGGGCTTCAGTTCATTCAAGCAGAAAGTCTGTTGAAGCGCAATATCGAGAGAAGAATGCAATGCTTACTCGAGTGATTGTTGACAAATTAGGTTTTAAGAAACAAACCCCTAGGGCAAGAAAAAGTTTCAAAATTTTGTTGTTTAGGCGGCTTGAAAAGTTTCATAGCGAAATAAATGTCTGGTGATACGTAGTTATTGAATAATTATTATCCACGCTTCTAGTACTCCAACCCTGAGTTCAAAAGATCTGCTGGCGACTGCCATAAAAATATATAAAACTTGTCAAGACACTTTGATTTTTCTTCCTAAAAAGTCAACCTCTCGGGGGCACTACGAAAATGTGGAACCGTTTCGCTTCGCTTGGCGTGCCATCTTAAATCAAATGCAGTAGCAAGTAAACGATATTATGTCTTTGCCACTTTACAGATAATCAGAGGTGGGCAGTAGCGCGCTACATGTAGCGGCCGCTACTAGCGGCCGCTACATTTTCAGTAGCGGTAGCGGTAGCGGCTCTACATTTAAGGCAATGTAGTGGTAGCGGTAGCGCCCGCTACATATATAAGTAGCGATACGAGGTTTTGCCGCTACAGCGCTTCCGCTACATTTATAGATAAAGCCTTTAGATTTTACTTAAAGGGACCGGCTACCCTCCAACAAAACTTTTTTGTTTACAGACGGATCGTTTTGAAACTTGGTACACATATGTAAAACAGAAATCTAAGACCTTTTTGTTCATGTAAATTTAAAAAAATGAACGAAAACGTGAAATTAATAGAAAACGGCATATAAGGGGTACTCTAAAAAAGTTTATAACTTTTGCAAATCACATGCTACAATGTCGAGACACATCATTCGATTTGTAACAACAATATCTAGCGACTGTAGAGCCCCGATTTTTTATTTTCCTCATCGTTTTTTTTCGCGTTCTTCCCATTTTTTCACATTTTTACCCCCCCCCCTAGATTTCCAATAATTTTGGCCATTGTAGCGGCTAATGTAGCGCGCTACATTTTACTGTAGCGGTAGCGGTAGCGCCCGTTACAATCTAGTGGGTGTAGCGGTAGCGGTAGCGCCCGCTACATTTAGAGCATGTAGCGGTAGCGGTAGCGGTAGCGCCGCTACATTTCCAAGTAGCGCTGCCCAGCTCTGCAGATAATAAATGTTATTAATGGAAGCAGATAAAATTGATTCTTCCTGTTGTTTTCTTTTCACGCCAAATATTAACGAAATTTGGGTGACTCCTTATTTGCCAAGTTCTGAAAAGCAGCGAGAAGATTTCTGGAACCATGATTTCATTGACACTTCTATTCTTACCATTTATTTCTTATAGCTATTTTCCTTATGTAACGATATCTGAGATCGCCCTCCAGCCATTTTACTTCAGTGCAATACTGATAAAGTAATAAATTCTTTTCTCTTCGTGAAAATAAAATTCGTGTAAATTCAGTGTATTATTTCAATTTCCTTGAATTTTCTGAATATGAAAAACCAAGCTTCACGATCAAACAGTTCCACTCGCCAATTAATTTGAGTCCTCAAAAGACGCAGCTGGGAAAGTTGTTCCTCTTAACATCGTATCTGAAACTTTGCTACAACTCACGAAGACGAATGACTCACTCAACTTTTTTCCCGCGCACCTAAAAATGTTCACAGAAAAATCAAGTACTGGAGCTGTCCACTTGTGCGATTGACGCGTTTGAGAGAAAAAATATAACATTAAATGGTACTCATTTCTTACCGACTCTTGGAATCTGTCCGAAAATTTTGCCTGTCCTCATATGTTTTTTAGTTTATCGCCTGTTTTTACGTTTTTCATATGTAAATCATTAATAAATGAGTAAAATATTTTATTTTATCAGCAAACTTTAAGCTAACCTTGACGAGGCTAGGTCAGTTTCCATCAATTTAGATTAATTAAGACTTGGCACGCAACGACAATGGCAATCGAGTACCGATTTGGAAATATCGGAAGTCAACGAAATAAAAGTTAATCTACAGGTGAGAATAATTTCATTATTAAACGCTTCGAATAATCTCCGTTCATACATAGTTGTATTACCATTATATCCTCCACCATTAACTTCTCTCATTCATTTTATTAGAAGTTTTATGGGCTTTATAAACTATTTACCGCTATCATGATAATTACAGCAAACATTTCTGTCACGATTTAAAAAAAATGAAGGCAATGGTGACGAGTGACGTGGCACTCGCTGCTCGGACCGATCCTGCCGGTCGTCGTACACGTAGCCAGCCGACATGTAGGCGGTGAAGGCCCTTGCGGTTGTCCTGTGGCTTCAAGTTCACCCAGCGTGGACATCCTGAAAAGAAGAAGAAGGCCATCTTTTATGGAGCAGAAGAGTGATGCCTCCTGCGTCTCGGAATAGTTTTCACAAAATGAACATAGGAATGAGTCCATGTATTTTTATTTCATAAGGTTCCTTATTCGTTTAGTGCTTTCTTTTTCGTTTAATGAACTGTACGTTGAATATCAACTACTCCGTAATTTCATTTGTTTATTTAATTATTTATGTACATCATGATCATCTGATCTTGGCATGCTACACCTTTTTGGAAAGCTCCTTGTCAATGCTACGACATATCAAAAGTTCAGCTCTGTAGTTCTGTTTTCCAAAGTTTCAGAGTCCCCAAAATATTAAGCCAAAGCTAAATTGAAATACTGAAAGTTAGCGGTTAGCGGCGAATTCCGCTAATTATTTTGGCGATTTATCGGTTTAGCTTTATAGAAGCTAACTTTTCAGTTAATGGATAAACGGTTATCGAAGCTAATTTTTCGGTTAGCTGTGCCCACCACTGATTATTACTCACATAGTCAGCAATATATTTCAATCATAAAATTCTTCAAATGTTGCACGCTGACGCAAGGTTATTAAATAAATCTAAGAAAGTTACTATTTACTATTATAATGTAAGATTAGCTGGAATATGAGTCGTTATGTCTCAAAAAATCATACTCTAATTGTGTGACATAACATGGATACCAGCTGCAGACTGCATGATGCGACTAATTTCTGTTGAATAATATGCAAATTAACAAAAGTTAATTCAAAGTATTTCAATATTGAGTGGGCATAAAAGTTGTATCCCTAATGGTCTAACCCTGCCTAAATACAATATGCAGTCAGCAAGCAAGGATTTTGCAATAACTGGCCAACTGACGGTATATGCGCATGGATTCAACGGCAGGGACACAAAGAAACAACGGCAGTTCGATATAAACATTTTGTGATATAAAAGAATAAATACTATTTATATAAACACGACATAACATAACATGGTGATGTCGGCGCTAACGAGTAGGCCTGATGTGGCCTTTCACAGAATTATTTTCTGGACGCACCGGCGTGACCGTAAGTGAGCCGTCCCGAGTCTCATTTTAATAAGAGTGTTGATTTATTTGCATATTAGCAAGAATAGAGAAAATACAAGGTCTATTCGTTTCTATTTCATTTTATAGTCATGCCCCAATTATCGTCATAGGTTTCTGTTGCATATCGTTTCTGATAGGTAAACATTTGACAACAACAAATAATAATAATAGTAATTTCATTGTAACATCTGAAATATCAATGAAAAAACAACTGTTTTATCCCCTCAAATCAGAACATATTTTTTGTATTATAATCTATCTAAATAGTATTTTTTGACCTAAAAAGTTCTAGCGAAGTGTTTCCATCCATACCGGTAGTTAAAATCGGGTTAAGGACATGAATCTTTCAATCTATGATCAATATTCAATGTTTTCCGATTTCAAATGACCAATAATTACAATCGGCAATTTGCCAAGTTTGTCTTATATAATTTAGTTGATTTCAGAAGTGGTCCTGTGTGCCTATAACTATAAGCATTTAACATCCGATACACATCATCTCCCACCAGTCATATATGCACCAGTCAGTAGATATACTAAATATTGGGTCTTCGGCTGCCACATTCACTTCTAGTACCAATCCACAATCCGGATTCCGGTTTGTAGGTCCTCCTGACCGTGTCCTCTGAACTTCTGAAGGAGTCACGGACACGGTTATTATCACTATCTGTCGTAGAACATATGAGAAAGTCCTACATTCGTAAAAAGTAAGTTATTTAGCAATACTGCTTCTGCTATAGTGTAGGTACTTGGCAATTTTGCTAATCTCAAATCAGTCAAATGTGCTAGCTTAATCGGGTTCCGTTATGGAAAGATCGGGTTCCAAAGGCCGGATCCCTTGTGAAGTGTGAATCAAGTCAGTGAAGTCACGAATACGAAAAGTATAAGAATCGGCAACGCCGCAACAGAACAGGCCATGCCGCCATGGGCCTAGCCTATTTCGTCAGTGCCCGACACCCGACAGTGCCGACACAGGCGACACTTCTATTTTATTCTAATTTGCGCAGCAATGATAAGTCTGAAGACGTGCGCCGTGCGGGCCGCGGCAATGATGTGGCCGTGGCGTGGGCCGCGTGGGTACAATACTCAAATTACTCAATAAACGTATAGTTATAGATAATATATATAGAGTCCAACTCAGTCGATTTTTTGTAAAAACCAGAATCTGTCCAAACTGTCACTGTGCCAGCACCAGCCTCACCAGGGCCCTGAGTCACAAGTAAATTAAATAAGCTGAGGTTGTTTTTGGTTACTGCTAAGTTAAGTTCAAGTAAGTTGCTAACTACAGCAATCCCTTGATTAACGCGGTTAATAAATCCTGGAGTTTTACCGTGTAAAGCAAAACCGCGCTATTTAGCGGCGCTAATCAAACTTAAGAATATATGGGAATAATTATAATGAATCCTCAAAAATAGCAAAGGAAAGGAAAATTATGTAGTTTGATAAAAGTGAGCAGTAGATATGGCAGCGATCTTGACCAGTTGAAGGCTAACAAGTAACTAGCCCTTTACGCACTGAATTATGTTTCGAAAATGAAAAAAACAATCTGAATTACATTTCAGATCACGCTCAGTCTTTGTGTTGTACTGGCAGTAGCGGCGCACCTACTCCATCGAACGTCATTCGAACGAGTTCACAACATGTGACGCTACCGTCACACTTGCAGCTAGACTCCAAACATGTAATTACTCTCGGTAGAAGCTTTTATTTTCTGTGTGACGAATTCGTCACACCAGGGCTTAATGGGCTAGAGCACCGGCATGGCGCACTTACCGGCGAACGTTGCCGAACTCGATCATTCAAGTTATGAACGAGACAAGGCGCGGTTAAACCGACTCTGTAGTCAGCACCAGTGCCTGCGGAACGGGACCTTATTTACAGAATTATTGGCTGAAATTCATAAAGTAACAACATTTGGCAAATTTTTCCAAAAGTCATAACAAAAGTAACAACATAGGATCTAATAAGCAAAAAGTAACACTTTTGTTATGAACGTAACACCTCTGGCTAGAGGCGGGAAAATGATAAGTTGTGAAAAAAAGTCGCGCTAATCAAAACTGGCACCGCGTAGATTAAGGGTAGGTCGCAAATTTTTTTTCCGCGTTAATCAAAACCGCGGTATTCAAAACCGTGCTAATCAAGGGATTGCTGTACATTTAAATATTGCATCATTGCATGTCATTGATGTCAACAAATTTTATTTATTATGACTTTATGAGCAGTAACAGTAATGTGCTCAAGTATTTGAACAACTATGGTGACATTTCAATGCCAATGCTGTAGCTAAGTAAGCTAACCATGATTAACTCATTGCCAGTTGCCACAACACTTAAACTGCCGGCCTTCAATTGATTTCAATTGATTTCAAACCATCTATTTTCTCAATATAATTGTTTGCCATTATGATGTTTTGTTCTACTACATACACTTTTTTACATACCTACATTGACTGATTGAGATAAAAATGAAAGTCACGGAACTATTGGAACATATCTACCTTAGTAACCTTACCTTCTAACTTCTAAGTTCTATCTAAGCTGCAATTAGAGCTTTCTCTCCATTTTAGGAAATTTGGACTTTTGGAGCAGCAAGATTCCTGCTTGGAGCAGCAAGATTCCTTGAGGCCAAGGGTGTCAGTCATATTTTAAAATTTTTGAAAAAATGGCAATTCATAGATTCAAGATTTCAGTATCAAGTTGGAAATTTTTTGATTAATACATTTATCTATAAAATTCCTGTTTAAGAATTTATGCTAAAAATTTTCTCTACTGCAGGTGATTATCAACACTTTGAAGTGCGACAATTCTTAAGTGATGACTGACACCAAGATGAGTAGTAGCACAAACAGCCCTCTCCACCGCTTCTCTGGCTCCTATGACAGTTTCTACACAGATGCTGCTACTGCTGCTGCAGCCATCAATCAAGATGATATTAATGGCAGGATGAAAGTTCCTAAGAGAATCAGGCTAACAGGTAGAGCATGCAATTTGTAAGAATGATAATGATAAATTTAGGTAGAATGATGAATCTAAACTAATATGTGGCCTATCACGACCATGTTACTCAAAGTTTTCTTGTGGTGACTATTTAGTTAGTTTTCTCCATTTGACCATAAATTGTCTGCTAAATTCCATGCATTAAACACTGAAATGGCAATGACCTAATGCACATTTATTGGGATGAAAAATATTCCCAAAACTGGCACATTGGTATTAAAGTCCCTAGGTACCTATGAACTGCTGCAATTAATTCCTCATCTTAAACTCTAATGGATTTGCAATTGCAGTCATCTAATTTCATTTATCAATATTTAATATACCGGTAGCTGGTTATTTATTGAATCAGATGCCATAATAATAGAATGTTCATTGTTAATGCTGAGAAGTCAGTTCCTTGAATTTGGTACAATGGGAATACCTATGTACTTTAATTCATGTTTAAATGAAGAAGGAAAACACACTGATTTGACTTTTTAGTGAATATAGGTACGGTACGGTAGGTAATAAGAGTTACCATGATCAAAAAAGGTTACTTGAACTTGACAGGCTTTTGAATTATTATTGTCTTTGAAGCATTATTTTGAGAAGTTTCCAGTTTTATGGTTCACCAGTACTGTTTGACTGTAGTGCCTAAGAACAATTGTCATGTTTCATGATGTTTGTCTTAAGAACAGTTTATTTGTTAATGCAACACCAGAATATTAGATTTGTAAGCTCAATATCATTTGACCCCTTCCTACTACAACAGACATGATTAAATCACTTGTTTTTGTGATGACTGAGGATTTCCCAAAATATTCTGGCACAAACATTTTCCTAGAATTATAAAGAAATTAGGTGAATTTTTTTGTTTACCGGTACTGTCAGTTCATTTGATATCTCTTAAGCTAAATTTTGTCCAGTTTATGCTAAAAGATCACCGGACAGAAGCTAATGAATTAAATTTTTTTAACAGAGCTAAAACAATTTAAAAGATTATAATTTTTATGCATTTTCATCAAAATTTGTCAAATTGTCTTCATTTTCTCAAGGGCATCAATCTATTTTTATATTGTAGCATATGTGATGAGTTGAATATTCTCTTTATCCCCCAAATGGTATCCATGGTTTCCATCGTGCAAAGAATCCATGCCTTCTATTTCATATGTTCTCATAAATATTCCCATTTAAATATCTCTCTGCAGAATAAGTATTATTTTGAAAACCATCATTTGCATTTGTTCCAGGAGAACATGACGACTCTCCATCAGTTAACTGGGAAAATTACAACAAAGCCATACCAGAGAAGCTGGCCATGAGTGTGCCTGAAAGAATCATGGTTGCAGGTAATTTGCTTCAGTATTATTTTAACATAGAATTAATTTTTAACTTTTATGTCTTGAAATTTTTAAATTGAAATAAATAGAATTTGGATGTTGGGATTGTTAATTATGGTGGTGTAATTCTTACTCAAGGTTAATTTTCATCAGTGCTAGTTTGCAAAGTTTTTTTTAATGGATTAGAAAACATTTGAAAATTTTCAATTAGAAATTGTATTACAAGCCTACTTTTTGCCTTCTGAAATATAACTGTTATCAAATTCATTTTTGATCTAATTTTTTTGTGATTCCAAACAATTCTATAATATGATTACTCCTGAATTTTTTTTGTAACTGATGAACATAACCATCTATGGTCAAGATATTTTGTCTGCACTGCCGCACATTTTCAATTGCTCTTTCATTAATTCTGGAATGTGGTAGGGGAGGAGACTGTTATTGGCATGACATTTTGGGCAGTAATTTTTCTAATCAAACGTGATCAGCTGCTCTAAAAAAATTTAATTGCAGATTAGATAATATCAGGGTTGGCAATGATTAAATCAAAATGATTAAATCATGTGATTAAATCACTTGATTTTTTTATAAAAAAATCATGATTTTTTTTATTTTTTCGATTTTTATATTTTTTCATATATTTAAATATATTGAGTGGCAGTCTTTAATTTATATTGAGGTATTGTTATTCATGGTTTAGTATAAATGTACTATGAATGACAAATTGGTATATAAACTTGTTGCCTTTAGTGTGTATTAGGTTCCAATAAATTGTTTTTGGTACAGAGGCATCAAGTGTGAAATACATTGTACGTAGCTAGCAGCTTAGCTAATTCTTATAAGGCTATAAGTAGTCTTTAACAATTTGACTATTTGTTATATATTGATTATAATATACAATTTAAATGTGTTAGCTAGCTCATACAGGGTGGGGTAGAACTGATTGAACAGTTTTGAGGTGAAATAAAAGAGTAATGGAGGTACATAAAGAAGAAAGTTTATATTCCTCAAGATTAGCATAACATACCATTTAAAATACTTATGTTTTGAAAACAATATCAGGAAGATGGGGTTTGTTAGCTGCATCACACTGTTTGAGTCATTCTCGGAAGTTTCCTACAGCACGTTCACGCATATGGCGAGGATGGCCATAACCTCAGCTGCAATAATCCGTTCTCTTAGCTGTGGTAGGGTGTGAGGGCGACTTCTTAACCCCTTTCTTGTAGATGTCCCCAAAGCAAGAAATCACAAATGCTCAAATCAGGTGACCTCGCAGGCCCCTGTAAATCACCCCTCAGAGTCCGGGAACATGTGTTTCAAAACATTGAGTAACATTCTGGCTGTGTGAGCTGTAGCCCCATCCTGCTGGAACCACACGTCTCCCAATGCTTCATTTTCAACAATGTTTTCCATCATGGGCTGCAAGAAATTTTGCAACATTGCAGCATAGCGATCGGAATTCACTGTTACGGTTACTCCCTACTCTGAGAATGACTCCAACAATGTGTTGCAGCTAACGGCCCCCATCTTCCAGATATTGTTTTCAAAACATAAGTATTCTAAATGATATGTTATGCTAACCTCAAGGAAAATAAACTTTCTTCTCCATGTACCTCTATTACTCTTTTATTTCGCCACAAAACTGCTCAATCCGTTCTGCCCTACCCTGTATATTGAGAGGTTGAGATTGTATTGACCTTTTAGGCAATTAGAAAGATTTTCCACCCTAACACAAGTATTCTAATTAAAATATTTAATTTCAATCTTTAAATATGTGAATTTGAAACTAAAAACAAAACAATTGCAATTATAAGACTATATATAAAATAATTAAATGCAGTGAATGGACATAAAATATTTGAATTGTGCACATGTTTATTTCAAGCAGTATCAGATTTTCTTATAACTTAAGTCTCATTTCAAGTCGTATGAGGTTTGTTTGGTTATCGTTCAGTTTATGTTTAGTATTGGTTTATTGGTCTGAATTAAATGGGAACAGTGCAGTCAGTCACTCAGTCACTACTAGTCGGTGTGTATAGAAGGCAGAGTCTGGTAGATTTATAGGACATAAAACTAGTAGATCTATTGATAGTGCTGTGCACTGTGCTATCAGCTACCTATATCTGTTATGTGACTCTTCAATGTTTAGAAGATCTGCATTCCTGAAGTGTTTTTGTATATTAAAGCCAATTAAAAGGTCAATATTTAGCTCATTACCTTGCTCCATACAAACTTTACCAAGCTAATGAATAGACTTATCAATAATTGTTTACCCAAAAATCCCTAAGTGGTAAACACCACCTTTGCCTGTTGGCCATTATTGAAGGCAATAAGTGCCCTTTTTAGCCATCCATTATGATCCATATACTGTTATTGTTAGTAGGCTAATTGCAACATAAAAAATAATACTTCAAAAAGATAAAAAAGTTGAAAAAAATCAAATAAATACAAAAAATCATGAAAAAATCAAACAAATCATTGATTTTTGATTTTTTTTTTAAATAAAAAAATCACCAACCCTGGATAATATAATATACCGTAATTTCTGTATAATATAGAAAAATATGATGTGTAGGTATGAGTTTTCTTACTTGTGTGTTGTCATATTTTATATAGGATATTTCTGTTTCTGCTTGCTTATATGATAATCTGATTTTTTTTTATTAGTACCTATTGCATGCGTTCAAAGCATTGAATTGTTTTATGTATTCCAGGAGGAGAGAATCATATTGGATCACGAGGGGTCCCAAGAGAATTTGAAATAGAGGACAGTATATTGCCCCGCCCTCCTGACCCCACCCTGTACAGAGTGAACACCCCGCCCCGCACCATCACCCTTAACAACTACACACCTGACCAGGTATCTTTACTGCACATTTAACATGCATAGGTACTTCACTGTATATATTTACTTTACAAAAAAAAAAAAATTTTCTAGAGAATGACCATTAGTGATAAATTTCTACCAGTATGGTGGTTTTACAGATTGATGTCAATGTATTTAGCTAAGAAAATTAGGCAAGAACTTGTGAAGTTGACCTATGCTGGTTTACTAAGAAGTTTTGTTTATCCATAATTTTGGCTACTGTTGACATCAATGGTTGGACTCACTGAGAGCATTAACTGAAACATAATTACAACTAGTAGATTGCATAACAAGACTCTAGCCGTTTTCGCAACCTAAGCTGCAAAACTCATCTTCCATAGATAGAGTACAATCTGCTTCACATTTTAGGATATATTTTGTCTGAACTCCAACAAATCCAAATAAATTAATAAATTTCAAATCTGTTAAATTCAAAGCTCTCTTTATATCACTCACAAAGAGGACCATTTGTGTGTTAGTAAAACATGAACAATTGAAGAAATTAACCTCTCTAAAACTACTTGCAAGGCTGGTCTAGGATCAATCAGATAAGTTCAACAAAACTTGAAACTAAAACTAAAAAGCATCATCACTATCAGAAAAATCCCTTGATATCTAGGCAGTAAGACAAGGTAACCACGAATTCCCTTGAGTGACTGAGGCTCAAGATGGCTGGAGCTTTGAACTAGCTCTTCTAAGCCGGGCATGCTGTTCTTTAAAATCAACACACGTGCTGAATTATAGTCTGCTGGTTTCAATTTCTTTATGAAAACAGCATTGCACAGTTAAAGCAATGTTTTTTTAACATACAATTTTGGCAACTTACTAGTAATGGCAAATGCTGCAACTTAGAACGTTCCCAGAATTCGCTTCCTGGAAACTGAATCCTCTTTCCTACCTATGGCTGGAGATTTTATCCATCTACTTTGTTGTAATGAGGATTGAGAAAGCTGAGGGTCATTTGAGTAGTTTTGTAGTTTAGATTTGAGTAGTTTGATTGGAGTACCACTGACCACAGTTGTGGCTCCAACAGAGGTGTCCATCTGTCTGTGTACAAGGAAGAGTAGTATTGCATATTGTTCCTTGTGAACAAGAAATAGTACTATTGCATACTTATTGCTTCTTGTGTATAAGGAAGAGTATTGCATATTGTTCCTTGTGAACAAGAAATAGTACTATTGCATACTTATTGCTTCTTGTGTATAAGGAAGAGTATTGCATATTGCTCCTTCTGAACAAGAAATAGTACTATAGCTTACTTATTGCTTCTTGTGTATAAGGAAGAGTATTGCATATTGCTCCTTGTGAACAAGAAATAGTACTATTGCATACTTATTGCTTCTTGTGTACAAGGAAGAGTATTGCATATTGCTCCTCGTGTACAAGGAAGAGTATTGCATAATGCTCCCATCATTATGACTAAAGAACGTCTACTTGATTTATTTATTAGACATATCGGTACGTAATGTATCCAATTAATGTATTCTAAACATCGTTGCATCTTTTATAGGAAGAGGAGACAACCTCTTCACCTCAGTCTGGCAGTGGCCGTCACTATGCACACACGTACCCGTCGCTGGTGCCAGGTCCCTCCAGCCAGCCTAACCACCACTTCACCTCGCCGCGGTACCAACAAACCAGAGGCTTACAAGAGGACAGTCCCATCAAGAACAGTGGCGCTGCAGGCATTGGTCAGAACTCAAGGGCTTCTTACTGTATTTTGGTAACAATGATCTCAATTGTTGTCACAGAAGTCATCGCTATTTTGAATAGTGTGTGTTCTGGACTAAACTTCTTAACTTGACAAAACTAGATTTTGTGTGTTCAGAACATCTTAACATAACGAAGCTAAATGTATTACTGTGAAGTTAATCATTGATTACGCATCAGTCAGCACAAGAATTTAAGTTTTACAAATTGACCTACCATCAAAAATTTTACAACTGCACATAATCCTTACGTTCGATGATCATACATTCCACACCATGCCTTCAGCCAGGGCTACGACGTCCCATCGTGTCATTTTAGCACGGTTATCGTCGTATTTAATTTAAGTTTCGAATCAATATTTGTACGGCATGTTAGGCTTGGTTCTAAGATGTTGCCTGAGCTGACTTTAGATGCAGGCTAAGCTAAATTATCAAAATTATGTATAGTATACCTATTTTTGTAATAACGTGTATATTGGTTCACGTTTGTATGAGTGAGCCTACAAGTAATCATTCAGGTTATATCCCGCATCACTGTGGAGAACGTTAACCACCTTTCAATGCAAAAATTGGTGACTAAATTCTAAAAAAATTCAATTTTATATTAATACCATTATTATGCTGAGGGAATGAGGTTCAATAATTTCAATGTAGTATATTAGCAAATGATGGTGGTTAAAAAGTCTTATAATATAGAGGGGTTTAAGTTGGTGCTAAGTCAGCCGTGTGCCGCAGGGCCGCTGAGCTCGAGCAGCGCGTCGCCCGTCAGCGGCGTCCACGAAGAGCTCAGTCCTGCAGAGGAGCTGCAGCTGCTGCGTCGTCAGGTCAATACTTCATGGCTTACTCTGAGTTATTTATTGTCTTAATTTGAGTTAGTTACCATCGTATACTTTGAGTTAGATCAACTTAGTTATGGTACCACTGTTGCGAGATTGCTTAAAATTGCATAGTTAGTTACCATAATATACTTCAAGTTAAATCATCTTTATTTATTTTTGTTACCACGGTTGCTGGCTTGCTGAAAATGGCAATTGCAGCCGAAAAACATCTGAAAGCCCTCGATAATATTTTTTCTGTGGTAATACGTCTCATCGACTTTATTGTAAGAATTGTTTTTGTATGTGAAGATAGGTATCTCAGAGCTTATGCTGTACATAGTAATATTGTTTGGATTGATCAAGTTATTCAGAAGTCTTCCGAAAAAAATATCGTATGGTAATCCTTAGTTAACCAGTACTACCCATTCATTTCCCTGAATCGGAAATTATTTTTGCTTTCGCCCACCATGGTTCTTGTGTAATTATCATCAATATTGACTCAAATTGTCCCTCCCTGTTATTGGTGCTGTAGCGTGTCATGTTTGAGCAGGTAGGGCGGCTCAACAGACATCTGTAGTATAACCTTCACCAGCGTTCCCTCCCTGTTATTGGTGCTGTAGCGTGTCATGTTTGAGCAGGTGGGGCGGCTCAACAGACGCCTGATGGCCGTGGAGTTGGACGCGCAGCAGCGCAGCCAGCGGGAAGTTATCCTGTACACCCTGGGCCTGTGCTACTGTCTCGTGCGCTCGGTGCTGTGGCTCAACTCGAAATAAACAACGTACTCGCCGCCATCTATCTAGAGGAATCTTCTCTTATGCTGCCTTGTGAACAAGGGATGTGGACCATGAAAATACTATTCTTTGTTCTTCCTGGTTGTATGGAAGTAATTGTCCTTGTTTCGAGTCAAATCGTTACTTTTTATCTGCTTTGCCTTCAGCTAAATATAGTAGTCTTTTGAACAAATAAAATTGTCATGTGTTTGCATAGAAATTTTTGCACGCTTCTGTTTGAAGTACCTACTTTTAAACGAAGTCTATTAATACTTGGGTGATGGTGTTCTTAGAAATTTTTAAGTTCCAACCCACGTCTCGAAATTACACTTTAATACTCGCATTTATTTGATGTTGTACGAAAAAAAAATTGTAAGGATCTTATTTTGAAATAAGGAAATAATCTCCATATACACTCGGAGAGACTTGCATCCCGTTTCGATGTTATTATCGTGAGAGTGGAACAGCACAACATGAGGATTATGAATTTAATACTCTAGAATTTGCAGGAAACGATTATTTGAGTCTTGGTTTTATGAAGGAATGCCGACGTCATATGCTCACAAGAGCAATTCTAGAGAAAAGTTCCTTTTTTATAGAAAATGTAACTTGTTGTCAGACCCCAGTTCTTCCCTGGGTGTAATGAAGATTGTTCATCAATCAAATAAATAGCAATATAAATATGACTGGAGACGGCCATTAGCTTTCTAACGAGTGCCTCTCCTTTATTCCACCCTTGATCATGTTGAGAATTATCATTATGTCCTATTTCATGTCCACACTTCATATGTTACGGAGTGAAAAACCGTGTGTAATGGCAGGACTGCTTTATAACCGTGCTGTATTTATCCCATAATATTGCAGTGCATAAATAAAATTGTAGGAGCTCTAAGGATAAAGCTCGTCAAAAGTCCTATTGAAGACATTTTAGCTCAGTAGTAGGAACGCTAACTTATTTGCTCCTCTGCTCATTGGTGTTGTTGCATTGACTTCACTCTCGTCATTTAACGTATTCTGGAGGCCTTTCCTGTGCGACTGGTATATTTGATGCTGTAAACGATTTTGTTATGCAAGTCTTGATGCTATTCTTGAATGGCTATTATGCTTCATCTTATATAAATTTATGCACGTGTAAGTAATTCTTTTCAGTGGCTGATTTAGGCCAATTAATCCAGTAAGATAAATGGTCGTAACCAAAAAATCTATCAGAGACATTAATGGAGACCAAATCATGCCTAAATAAATGAAAGCAAGTCCTGACAATTATCCGAAAGCAGAACTAAATCTGATAATGGGACACCTTCCCAGATAAATGATGGTATCTCTTCTGTTTGAAATGTGTGCTGCTCTCACGCGCTGTTAAACGCTTCTATCTAAGGTCTTCGCATCCAGTTGATGAGCCCGTGTTTATCGGTCAGGTTAGATCCTATGGTGGCTTCTTATTCCAACGGCCTTGCTGGCGTGTCCTGTGTCTGGTTCTGGTGCGCCAGTAAATGATCTCCTCACATGACCGGGTGCCTGCATAACATAACACTCCCATATTCTGATCTTGTCATTTGGTTATGAATTAACTAATGTCAATATTATGGTTGTATTGCTGGCAGGTTTTAGTCCTTCAATATGATGTTATATACGTGCATGAGACTGGAGGTTGTGTTATTGTCAGTCTGGTGATATAAACTTTGCCTGTTACTTTCCCAGACTATAAAATTCGATCAATGTACTGCTGATTATATAATCACGACCATATGCTTACTTTATATAGCTTATTGGTGTAGGAGAATAATTTTGGTGTAGTTAGGCAGAAGCTTTTCTCTTATGCAAGTTTGATTGAAAACCAGAGCATGCTTTTTATTAACAATCTTCTTGTTCGTTTTTTCCATGAGTCGAACCAAATTTCTTGCTGGCGTCGGGAGATCGAAAAGCAGGTTTCCGAATGACATTTTAATAGTTTGCAACGTTTCGAAAATACAATTTTCATTATCAAGCTGGTGAAGGTTTTACAACATCTGAAATTGAATTTGAAATGACAGAAGTACTTATCAAAGGTAAAGTGGATACAATACGAAATATTAGCTTAAAAATTACTCCGAAAATAATTTTAGCGTCCGGACGAATCCAGTAGTTTGGAGGTTGATAGCCGGAGACTCGCTCTTGATAATGAGGGCCTCAGCTATCGTCAATCTCGATGGGTCAGGGCACCGCATAACTATGCTGGTGCAGGCTTCCAATGTCGCTCGGGTGATGGTCTCATTGTGAGCCTCCCGCATGTGGTTCTTAGGTCCAATTTCGTATTGTATCCACTTTACCTTTGATATATACTTCTGTCATTTCAAATTCAATTTCAGATGTTGTAAAACCTTCACCAGCTTGATAATGAAAATTGTATTTTCGAAACGTTGCAAACTATTAAAATGTCATTCGGAAACCTGCTTTTCGATCTCCCGACGCCAGCAAGAAATTTGGTTCGACTCATGGAAAAAACGAACAAGAAGATTGTTAATAAAAAGCATGCTCTGGTCTTCAATCAAACTTGCATAAGAGAATAATTTTGTATATGTTTGTTCGCAGTATATGCGCTTATTTGTTTGCAAACCCTCAAAGAATGAGCCAGGATCACCATATTTCTCATGGTACACAACCGATGATGTTGACTCAAGTCTTGAGTCTGTATATCTTCATGTAAATCTATTGCCTAAATATAAGTACGAGCTATAGCTATTAGGAGCATCGGTTTGCTATTGGTCCTGAAGAGCAAACCTTTGCTCATGGTCTTTAAATTAATTACAGCTCACTCAAGTTAGTATTTTAACGCGAGATTTTTATGACTGTTCGCCATATTCCTTTCTTTTCTGTTCATATTTTCTGGCCTGTCTTATGATTCTATTGTCACTTTGTGGTACATTATGTACAACAACAAATTACAATATATTTTAATATCAGAGAAGACATAGCGCCCACCATGTTTCCGTTAAAGTGTTTCAAGTGAACACTTGCCATGTGATTGTATCTAGTCGACAAGTGTGGCATTCTGAGGCTCCAACTCCTCACTGTAACCTATGACGCCTGCAAGTATCATGCAGTGTCAGTAGCTAGGATCATTGTCAGGTTATTCGGTGCAAATTGCTTGTTGTGTTGCGTTCAGTTTCGATTTTTCTCATTTCTGGGTGGCAGAACTGTTTTACCAGGCCTTATTGTGGTTGTTTGTGTCAAAGAAATTGTGGTGTTCTAACTAAATTATTAGCTATTCTAGTTTGTTTTACAAGAATATGTATTTTAGGTAATCGTGTTACATCCATTAGATTTCAAGCAGACACTTATAAAATAAATTTACCTACTCTTTATTATACTTGCACTAAAGAAATAATTTTTTTATTAGACAAATGTAGATCTCAGTAAACCAGGACGTGCATCTGGACGTCTTAGGATGATGTCTGCCTCATGGGGCGAGGCGCTCGTCACAGAACATTTTCAAAAGACCTGATCTGTGATGGCCATGCATTTATTTCCCAACTCCTTCAATCCTGGCAAATTAGTCAAGGTCCCTTCAATATTTTCCCGTTCAATTATTCATTTGTAACAGAAATATAAGTGCGGGATGATGGATAGAATTATTCTCTGTGATTGGTAAAGTGTTTTCATTTATCTATTGCGACAATAAATTATTTTTCTTACTGAGGTTTGGTTTGAAATTATTATAGTGAATAATCAGCTACGGTAATTCTGTCATCGACAGTTTCTGGTTCTATAATACAGCTTCATTCAGTTCAGTTTATGTAAATATTTAATCATTGCAAACGTGTTGCGTGTTGCTATTGTTCACTGACTCTTCAAGATTATGAACTGAGAATCCCTGCATCTGAATGATGCAACACTCAGCCAAAATGCGCCAAACAAATTTCGAGTCACAAATGACAATTTTTAAAACTTTCACAGTGCTACTTGTTTTATAAAAAAAAAACCTTGATGATCTCAGCAGAATCGAATATTTTCGATTGCGAATATGCGAAATAGTTTTCTGACTAATTTCAGACTTGTATAGCTTGTCCAATATTGCATTCTTAAGTTTATGTATTGTTGGCGCTGTGTTATAAGCAGCGACTCCCTGCCCTGGCGGTAGCCCTGTGAGGTCGTCTCAACCTTCTAAATTATTAGCACAACTTATTTTATTCGATGCATCTGTATGCCGGAGAGCATTGATATTTGCATCTTTATGCAGTGTATTTGATGCAACTGTACTGCATGCCATCATGTTTTTTATGTATAATTATCATTTTTGCTTCGATCGCAGCTGTATCATTGGGGATTCAATAAAATGTCCAAGTAAGATCAGTTATAGGGTGAAAATGAAACACGTTAAACAAATTATTGGAGAACTGGGACACAGCTTGTCTATGTATATTAATTTGCATAATTATATTATAGTTTGCGTGCATCTTGATCCCAATGGTTGTATTCTTGATCACTTTACCTACTGCGTGAGATTTGAGAGTTCATTATCGTCATGAAACTTGCCACTGCCTGTATGATTTTTTTCCCTAATTTAGCCCAGTCCGCTACGACCTGTTGCATATAACATGTATTTGAGACGACAGTACTTTGTATTTATTGAACCGTTGAGTCTTGTAATGCATCTATCGTGTTAAGTGAATATAGCCAAGTTATCTCATCAGACGCTTCTTAACCTTTGTCTTCTCTGTGTTTGATTTTACGTGATGAACTTATAAATATGATCATTATTACTTTGAAACCCTATAATAAAAGATGAGTTGTACTGGTCATTCTTAACGGGTGCGAGAACCAGTAAAGTCTGAAAATATTATTGCAAAATATTTATTATTGTATTACAATTTTGATGATCTTGTGGATTGGCAACATTGAGCTAATATTGTTCGTCATTGTAGTCCAACCAAACCTTGCTTTAAATGAGAACTAATTTGCAACATCCCTTTCTAATACATTTCAATTATTTTATTTACCGGTAGCTGGATATGTTGCAAACTCCATCGTAAATCACTCCCAGTTGCGATGACCAATGTATTAATCGTCACGACTATGCATTAATTAATCAATTATTGTCAATTTATTTATGTATTATTTCCGCAATTATTATTATTAATTATTAATTTGTAATTTGATAATTATTTCCGCAAGGGGCGTGGACTACAGGGTCCACGCTGGGGCTTGGCGACCCCCCGGCCTCCTGCCTTGTGATGTGCGCTCCTCCAGATGCTCTCGACTCTCAGGACGCGCGTCTTTAGGTGCGGTGCCTATACACGAGCAAAGTAGTGGCGGCCAGTGCAAATTTAGGTGCTTATACACGAGCAAAGTAGTGGCGGCCAGTGTGAATTTAGGTGCTTATACACGAGCAAAGTAGTGGCGGCCAGCGCAAATTTCAAATAATAACTGCCAATATTTACCGTGCTATTGGCCTTGTATAAAGGCGCTACTAGCCACTATTCCCGCCGTTTACAAATACCTTCAGCTGCATCATCTGAATAATGTCCAGTGAGCAGGAAAACGCTACGTTAGTTGCCAACTCCGTAGATTAGCGGGAATGATCATTGATTACAGTCAATCCAGAGATCTCTAGGCATAATTGATAGTTATTGAACCGATTCCGAAAAGAAGAATATAAGTGAACTGTAATATATTAGTTATATAAAGTTCGACACCATGGCGATGCTGAAGCCAGCTGCCCTCACTCAACTGCTCAACGAAGCGAACACCGGCGGCGTCTATGGAGCGCTGTGAGTACTTGAGCTTTTAGGACGTCTTGTCTGCTGGGCAGGAGGCCGTTTATTGATTTCTTATAAGGGCAGCACTAAAGTCTATGCTAATGCACCGTCCTCGACAGCTATCAACGACACTGAGAAATGAACTGAGCTTCCCTAGACTAACATGTTTCATCTCGCAGTTGTGGTGCAATGAATATTGCTTGTGTGTTCAATACATCAACAATCATATGTTGTAGAGATCGCCTGTCAGTTGACCATTTAGTTGTTTATAAATGTAATCCTTAAGATCATAACTTATATCAGATATCAACATCTCTTTCATTGGTGTCGTTTGATTTAGATGAATAACTTATTTGTACTAACCTCAGACTACTGAACATGGATGGAGCTCTGCTGGCATTCAGCGGCCCCGCCGACCGCGACGCGCGCGTCACGGCCGCGATCTCGAGCAACATTTGGGCGGCGTACAGCAAACTCGGGGCTACCGGCCGCGCACAGTCGCCTCTTGCCCCCGCCACGCCTGAACAGCGACTGTTGACCGTCCTGCTCGACTGCCAGGTGACTAACTCACGTCCTGCTAGACTGCCAGGTGACTAACTCACGTCCTGCTCGACTGCCAGGTGACTAACTCACGTCCTGCTAGACTGCCAGGTGACTAACTCACGTCCTGCTAGACTGCCAGGTGACTAACTCACGTCCTGCTAGACNAGCCAATCACCACCGCCAGCGGCTGATGAGCGGCCAATCACCACCGCCAGCGGCTGATGGGCAGCCAATCACCACCGCCAGCGGCTGATGTGCAGCCAATCACCACCGCCAGCGGCTGATGGGCAGCCAATCACCACCGCCAGCGGCTGATGTGCAGCCAATCACCACCGCCAGCGGCTGATGGGCAGCCAATCACCACCGCCAGCGGCTGATGTGCAGCCAATCACCACCGCCAGCGGCTGATGAGCAGCCAATCACCACCGCCAGCGGCTGATGGGCAGCCAATCACCACCGCCAGCGGCTGATGAGCGGCCAATCACCACCGCCTGCGGCTGATGGGCAGCCAATCATCACCGCCAGCGGCTGATGGGCAGACAGTCACCAACAGACAAGGCAGACAGTCCTGTGATTGACAGCCAATCACCGCTGTATTAGCCAGTAATCGTATTTTCTGGATAAGATGATGTACGGCCGTGTGTGAACCGACAGTAAATATTCCGGCGTAAGAACTACTGGACGCGAGTGAATGATGCGTGTGTTAGTCGATAATTATTAATTTTCCTAATGTGAGAATCGTTGCTAGTAGATGATGTGATATATATTTTTAATAAACTTTATATTATATTTATCGCTTTTATTACACGTGTCGATGAGATTAATTGGACATTTGGTCTTTATTTGTCTCGGTTAAATGTACGGGTCACTTCATTCTTAGTTAATTAAATCTGTGTAAAGTAATTAATACGTTTGATTAACATTGATGTTCAATTAACTGCACAGGTTTAAACAAGGATTAATGATGCGATTTCGTCACGGGTGTATTGCTAACTGAAGCGACAGATTGAGGTCCCTTGAGAAGGCAATCTAACGGTAAAGCGTGCGATAGTGATCCATTGATAACTCAGCCAATTTCCAATCGATCTCGGAAAAATAACTTTATTTCTAAATGCGCCATGTGTGTTGGCACAATTTATCTGCCACGATTTTTGCTGAGACGGCAATGCAGCTAATGGACAGGTAGTTTATTTATATGGATGTGCGCAAACAAGAATCAATCAAGACCAGGTGTTGAGAGAATTATGTGAATTATATATAAATATTTAATGAATTTTTTTACATATTTTGTTCCAATTCAAATGATAAATTCCTTTTCAATGAAAACAAGTTAAAACGATTAAATAAAAGAATTGAAATACTTATTCGCGCTCGAATTGATTATTAAGTAAACCATGTAGAATTGTTACTCCCTATGATAACATTATGGAAAACCAATGCTGTTGTGATGAAATTTCGGAAGGAGAAGTAAGAAAATTTTGAGGAATTTAAATTGAAATTGAAGTTCGGTTTTCAACATTATGATCAGTTTATCTCTGACAATTTGAACGATCTGAGTCACTATCTAAGTTTGAAGCGAGCATTTTCTCTTCCTGTCTGGCTCGTACGCAAGTGCAAGGTTCATGTCATTTATTAATTCCTCTCTCAGTTTGTTTACATAGCGTATGTGCATGATTGTCTTGTTGGAATTGTTCAAATAGCTACGCGTACCTAGTTTCAGTTATTTTTTATATATTTAATATAATTTCCTCTTCCGGTGTATGTTATAGAACTATGTCAAAAATATAATATGTTGTTATAGAAGCCTGTTTTATTAGCTCAGATGACTGCAATGTAATAGGCCAAAGATTCAAAACAAGTTCGACAGAAGATTTAGGTACCTTGTACCTACCCTTGGCGACGTGTAATTATACAGCTAATAACAAGCCTAATGATAGGTTTTTAATTTGAGCATCAAGTGAAAAAAACTGTAAATTTTATACTGGTTATCTCGTCTCTCCCAGCCACACGGCACACTGTAAAAATCAAAATGTAAGTACTAAACTCTAAAGTACATGACAAATGACTAGGCTATGACTATAGTTATTCAGTTTTAAAAAGAAGAAAAATTCAGCAAAATCTTGTGGCTCCAAATTTGATTTCATTTGATAAGCTAAATTTTTTGCCACAGTTGAGCTTTTTTTAGCAATTATATTTAAAAATTCATATGACTACTAGAAATCCAGAATCCTGTTGCTCCTGAGTCCTGAGTCCTGAATCCCAATTTCCAGTGTGACAATTGACAAGTTTGGCAATCAAAAATATCTAGGCCTACTTCTTTCTGAAATTTGTGGCTGAAAAATGGCATATTTTAAAACAATTTTTAATCTCTTTTTCTGATCAGTTTGTCAGGTCATTATGTCATTTACCTAATTTTCTTTTTTAATCATTCAGCAGAAAGTTCTTCTAGAAATAATATTTTATAATGAAAGAAAGATTATGATAAATCAAAAATGAAATGGTAAACGCACTATATTCCGACACAGACACTGTGGGTAATTTCAACACCCCTCAACTTTTTCCTTTATAGGGTAAACGCAGTATATTCCGTCACATTAAGGACGCATCAAGAAATGAAAAACTATAAAAAAATAACGGTATTATTGCAGATTAACTACATCCAAAAAAAAGGGTGTTTTTTTTTTAATTATGTTTTTTGGGGTGTAGATTACGAATCTGAAATCCATTTTTGGCGGTCGGCATCGGAAAACCGATTTTTTTCCGACCCAATAATCGCGCTAAAAATGCCTAAAATCTGCGAAATCGGCGAAAAATCGGAAAACATTTTTGAACTAAATCAATCTGGGAATGACTGTAAACCTATGTAAAACCCTAAAATCGCGCTAGGTTAGGTTAGGTTAGGTTAGGTTACGATATAGGCTGCTATTCCGCACCACCCAGGAGGTTTACACGTAGCGCACGACATCTTGAATGAAACTTACCCGTTGCACTGCAACGGGTAAAGAAGACGAAAATGTTACCCGTTGCACTGCAACGGGTAACATTTTCGTCTTCTTTGTCCATAAATCTGGAGATACATTGCCACATCGAGAGATCACAACCTAACAGTAAGTCGCGAAAAAAATCGGTTTTCCGATGCCGACCGCCAAAAATGGATTTCAGATTCGTAATCTACACCCCAAAAAACATATAATTCAAAAAAAAAACACCCTTTTTTTGGATGTAGTTAATCTGCAATAATACCAAAATAACTGTATGCGTTACTCAAGTTCTGTTTGCTTTATGTGACTCTCAAAACACCGCACTACGCGTCGGCAACGACGAAACGTCACAAAATGTTGCCATATTTATTTAAAAGCCTTTAGAATGCAAACCTACCAAATCCCTATATTCCATCACTGTGTGGAAATTTCCCCGTATTTTGCATCTCATGGATGATGTTCAAATTTTAAGATAATGTACGATGATCAATGCATTAATGCTCCTTGATCCGGGTGGAGTGTGTGTGGCTATATTTGGCACGTGGTGAGGCGTATTCCGTCCATGCTTCAAATTCTACTGGTACATTATGCCGTCATCCACGTGTTTGAATTCTGTTCGCTGTGTGAGCTGTATTGGAATACAACAAGGCTTTGAATTAGAACACTAATGAATATTGAACAATACTTAATTACGCTTTTAATTAACAACTATTAAGCCTCGATTGGAAATTTAAGGTAGTGATCAGGAGTACTGCATTTCAAAATTCTCACGGAATTGCACCGAACCGCCATTGTACAGATTTTGTAAGAGATCTTGAACATTCTCAAGGAATTGCTATGTTTTCACGATTCATCATTTACACGACTAACATCGTCTAAAAAGATTACTCATTACGTTGCCTTAATCCTAGAGCGTAGAAAATAAACACCTAAATTGTTTTAGTGCACTGAATTACTGCATCCATTGCACCTTCTTTCACTCCACAGATGATGATTCACTGCACGCTAACAGTTCCGTCTCCTACGATGCGGACGTGAGCAGCTACTTTATATAATGTAGTAGCTACTCTAATAATATAATGTTTCTTACTAAAAACTTATTCAAGAACCTATGTTTTTTAAGAAACAAAGGTACACATTTTAATCATACAATAATAAAGACGAAAATCATTAATCAACTGCAAATTAGTTTATCATACATGTGATGTATTATTATACAGTATTTTTTACGGCATACAGCATGAGTAACCATTGATGGTTTGAAAAATAAGGATTACATATTAATATAGGCAAAAAGTATCACAATGTATTTGGTTATGTTGAAAACACAACATAATGGAATGTTGCCAACAGCATTGCTCATTATCATCTCAAACAAATTTACGTCCGGACTCGCGGCTGGCGTCTCATTACCTGCAGGGGGAGAGATCTGCAGAGTCAAACGTTTTGAAAGACCTGAATGAGAGATGATTAGTTTCTGTGCTTCTGGAATCAATGATTTTCAGTGCGTTATTAGTTCATATTAAAACTTGATTTTTCTTATTTACTTGGCATACAGTTGAACTTATTTGCAGTTCATTTTCATTATTCAATTACACCGTTCTAATAAATCAAATAACTGATAAGATTTCAAAAATGTTTTCTAATGATATTGTGTTTTCTAATAGCATAAAATGGCACTTTATTAGCATAATTTCCTCATAAATATTCAATCAGAACATTAATTTAAACATTTTTTTCCAGAAAATTGGCACATATATACATGTTGTTCTCATCATTGATATGTTTCGTAAACTTTGTTTATAAATGGTACAATATTACTTAAACAGCTATGCTGTCATACTGGATCATGCCATTCCTGATGCTTGCAAATTTCGATGTGCATGAATATTTGGGGACAAGTGTTATAGGTAGTCTAGAGAATGCCGAAACCAATATACTATAAGCTATAATATAGTTTTGTTCAAAAGATATAAATAATAATGAAATGCGTGCAAATTGGCGGTCGGATTTTAAACTTGTTCAGGCATCTATTGATGTTTCTTCATTCGATAATAAAGGCTCTAATAAAAATCATGAGATAAAGACAGGCTGACTGAAGTGTCCGATCAACATAATGAGAACAACATTTAAAAGCTATATAATTTCAGCATTCAAATTGTCTGAAACATC